TTTTTAACTAAATAAAACATGGACATCTTTGGATCGTTTAAAACCTTAATTTGTGTAATTGTAATTTAGCAATAAATATAAATATTGATTTAAAACATTATCAGAAAAAATGTATTTACTAACATGTTTCTTATAAATGACAAAACATTAGCTTGTTTTTTAATCAATAAACAGTGTAACAGGGTTGAATTAATTGATCTTTTAATGTTTTTTTATTGAGGTTTGCTGTGCTTTTTTTGGAATTAACTAAAATCTGGACATGTTTGGATACAATTTAAAACCCAGATGTGTGTTTTTATTTTAGCAATACATACAGACATGAAAAAATTAGCAACTCAAAATATGAATTTACTATCTTGCATTTCTCTTAAATTAAAATGGGCTTTGTATCTCAATAAGTTGACTATCAGGGTTGAATGATATTTTAATATTTTTGAGGTTTGCAGTGCTTCTTTTGAACTAAAATAACTTTGGATACAGTTGATTTGTGATTGAATTTAGCAGTAAATATAAATATTTTTTTAAAAATCAACTAAAACGAAATCAATTTACCTACTTATTTCTAATGAATAAAAGAATATTAGCTTGATTCTTTTTTTTTCCTCAATAAGCTAACAGTTGAATGTTGTTCATTTTTAGGGGAGGTTTGTACGTTAGATTCAAGCTAATTATTTTATTCTATTTTCATATATTTGTATCATTATTGTCTTATATTTTATGTAAAATAATAGTTTATCTGACATATGTTATTCAACTATTAGTTCCCTTTTAGCAGCACCCATCTCTGATGTATTTCCTCCGTTATCTTCCTCTGTCTCAGGTTCCGTTTGCTCCCTCTGGGCTGAAGGTTCGTTACCTGAAGGTATTCGAGTCGAAACTCAACTACAGTGACCACGATGTGATTAAATGGGTGCGATACATCGGACGCAGTGGAATCTACGAGACGCGCTGCTAATAAGCAGCTGAGCAGAGGGACCAACTCTTACTCTCCTATAAATATACTATGTTTCCCTCCTTCCCCTCTCCTCAAGATTTGTGGA